CGTTGTTAAGTGAATCATTGCAGTTGCTAAATGACTAACATCGTTGTTAAGTGAATTTAGTTTTCCCATCGTCACTGCTGGTCAGAAGATCGCAAAAGATGATCACCTCACGACACGGCAACAGTCATCCATGCGAGTCAGTTCCCAAGCATCTGAATTTTAATCCCACGGCCATGGGGGGTGGGGTGCTGCTGCAATGGTCGTTAAGCGTGAAAAAGTCAATTTTTTCAATGCCGTTGTGACTTTTTAAATGGTCGCTGAATGAACTGTTGGAAGTCAAGGACTACCCGTATTTCCACTCAGCGCGTAGTTTAAAAAAAGAAGACAAGAAAAGGATAGAACTGCAGTATTTCATACTACATATAATTACGGCGGCAAGGATTGCCTTTGCCCAGAAATGGAAAAACAAATTAATTCCAAGCAAAGAGGAAACAATAAGAAAGGTTATGGATTGTGCTGAAATGGACAAACTAACTAAAGAAATCTAGGGAAAAGAAGAATCAGAATTCTACCAGATATGGGATAAGTGGTATAGATGGATGGAGGAAAGAAACAAGAATCAATGAGACCATAGAGTCTCCTCCTAGTGCGGCATCCATTCCCTAACCGAAAGCCCTATCAATTGTGGAGCCGACCGGAGACAGGGAGCCACAGCAGAGGGATGAAAGAGCCACATGCAGCTCCAGAGCCACATGCAGCTCCAGAGCCACAGGTTGCTGTCCCCTGGTATAAGGCCACAAACCAGGAGAAGGTGAATTATGTTCTGCCTTCGGTACTAATCCAGCTGGGGTGCTTTCGAACTGCTAGGTTGGCAGAAGCTGAGAAAAGTAATGGGAGTTCACTCTGTTATGTGGTGCTAGGGATTCGAACCACAGAACTGCCGACCTTTCTGATCGACAAGCTCAGCGTCTTAGCCACTGAGCCACCAGCGTCCCTCTCTCTGGCTTACAAGGTGTTATATCTGTCACCAAGAAAGAACAAGTGATTTAGGTCAAGCCATAAGACTCTGAAACTGACCCTTTCAAATCTCCACGTTGATATAAATGACAAGGGAATATACTGGCTATGTCCATCATGTTTTCAAATGCCGAGCGGCGGGCCTGAAATTATTGCTTAATCCCCTTAAGAAGTTTAATTTTAATCCAGAATGCTCCGATGTAGTAAAACCCCCGAATTAGGGCTGGGAGACGCCAAAGAGGATAATAGAAGTGGAGGGCTGTTGAGCAAGCTAAAATAAAATAAAAAATAATGTGGAAAAAACTAGAAAAGAATGCCCAGATAGACTCTCTAAGAGATCTGATGTCAAATTCAGTACAGATGAAGACATACCATATTTTTGGGACTATAAGACGCACCGGAGTATAAGACGCACCAAGATTTTGAAGAGGTAAATTTAAAAAAAAGTTTTCGTCCTCCCCGCCCCCAGGAGCACTCTGCAGACCTCCCAAACCCTTAGCATGCCCTGTTTTTTGTGAAAAACGGGCATGCAGAGAGTTTGAGAGGCCTGTTGAGTACTCCTGAGGGATGGGGAGGGCAAAAAATGAGGGGAAAAAATGCACATTTTTTTGTGGGGGAAAGGGGCACACAGAGGGTTGTGGGAGGCCTGTTGAGTGCTCCTGAGGGCTTGGGAGGGCAAAAACAGCCCTGTCTTGCCTTGCTGGCCCACTTCTTCTGTGGCCGCTTGTGTCAGCCCCAGCCTCCATTTTGCTGTCAGAAGTGTACGGGCAGCAAACCTATACCAACCGGTACAGGAACACACCCTTGGACTAGATGATCTGTTAGAAATTCTGTTTAGATATAGCACCACTGATCAAACAAAGAGTACAGTCACCATGTGCTTTACTGCTTAATTGCTTAACTGTACCAGGCAACAGGAAACTTGACTTAAGAGCATAGAGTATATACCATAGATCCAAACTTGTAAATACTGCTATCTACTAGCTGAATGTAACTGGTTGCTGCATAAAAATACATTCCAACAAAATGTATTCTGACACCAAGGTCCCTTACCGTATTATGATTCAATGAATATGTTCAGCTAGGAGTGACAGTTGTTCCCACGAGATGTCTGCTCACTCACAACCCTCAGGCATGTGACCTTCCTCTTAGTCTTTCTTCTGAAACACTCTTCTTGTGTCTTTTCAGCCTCAGGAGTTTCCGGAGGAATTTTACAACTTGACTAATGCAATTCTTGTTGCCACCAATAACCAGGCAGGCAGCAACAGATCCTCGGAGTAAATGAAAGATGAGTGAAATACTCTCTGTAAAATCTCATCCCCCCCCCACACTGTCCCCCTCTTTTCTTGCCACCCTGTACATTTTATGGAAACCCCATTTAAAAATGTTTATGAATGAGGTCATGTGAATATTTTTTGGTGACGTGATTTGTTGGGGATAGCTCACTCACAGTGCTAAGCGTTTAAGTTTTATTGTTTAAGGAGACACCTAGTAAATTCCTTATCGTGACCAGATCATTCTTAACTGAGCCACAAAAGACTCTTTGCTCTTTAGAGGCAGGATTTCAAATTCAGGTTTTCACAACCGATTGTAGGAAGTTAGCACCCACCCCTCTCCTAGAAAAATGAAATATTTTAGGAAATGTTAAAAAGAGCAGAATAATGGGTGGAAACTAATAAAGGAGAGAAGCAACTTAGAACTGAGGAGAAATTTCCTGACAGTTAGAACAATGAATCAGTGGAATAACTAATCCAGAAGTTGTGAATGCCCCAACACTGGAAGTCTTTAAGAAGATGTTGGATAGTCATTTGTCTGAAGTGGTGTAGGGTTTCCTGCCTAGGCAGGGGGTTGGACTAGAAGACCTCCAAGGTCCCTTCCAACTCTGTTATTCCCTTATAACTCAGCAAATGGGTGGCTAAATTATGATTTAGTCTGAATCACAGATTTCCCCCTAATCTAGTTGTACAAGTGANACCCTGAGCCGGTGAGATTTGAACCGCTGAACTGCTGATCTAGCAGTAGCCTGCAGTGCTGCATTTAACCACTGCGCCACCTCGGCTCTTGTTCTTCGGGATCCTTAACATATTTATTCGTAAAATAAACAGGAAAACTGTGCAGATCAGGGGCCGCTCAGAGCTGAGTGATGGGTCTGGGACAGTTGTCAGGAGACTCTAAAACTTTAGAAATATATAAGGACCAGGGGACGTGGTGGCTCAGTGGCTAAGACGCTGAGCTTGTCGATCAGAAAGGTTGGCAGTTCGGCGGTTCGAATCCCGCGCACTGCGTAATGGAGTGAGCTCCTGCTACTTGTCCCAGCTTCTGCCAACTGAGCAGTTCAAAAGCACGTAAAAAATGCAAGTAGAAAAATAGGGACCACCTTTGGTGTGAAGGTAACAGTGTTCCGTGCACCTGCGGTGGTTAGTCATATCAGCCACATGGCCACGCAGACGTTTTCAGACAGCGCTGGCTCTTCAGCTTTGAAACGGGGATGAAGACCGCCCCCTAGAGTCAGGAATGACTAGCACAGGAGTCAGCAACGCACAGCTCTGGAGCCACATGTGGCTCTTTCATCCCTCTGCTGCGGCTCCCTGTTGTCGGTCGGCTCCACAATTGATAGGGCTTTCGGTTAGGGCAGATAGAGGAAAAAGGATGCCGCACTAGGAGGAGACTCTATGGTGGGGGAACTGGACTTCCGGTCAGCTCCAGAATTGAACGGGGGGCTTCCGGTTAGGACCTTTGTGGCTGTTTGAGTGTTTAAGGTTGTTGACCCCTTGACTAGCACATATGTGCAAGGGGAACCTTTACCTTTAATGACCAGGTGCTGCCTTCTGACCACCCTGTGTTAGGTGGTCTCATTTTTGGAGAGAAAAATTAAGGTGGGGGGGAGTAATACAAGAAATTAAGGTTGCCATATGCTGGTGGCTGGGTGGAGTGGTACAGTGGTCTAGAGGTAGAGCTCTCGCCTCACAATCAGTAGGCTGTGAGTTTAATCCTAGGTAGAGGTAGATATTTCTCTCTCTGGGCACACTGAACAAAACTCTGCATTGGTGACAGGAAGGGCATTGGGCCATTAACACACACTGCTAGTTCCACTCAGTTGCCCAGACTTCACCTTGCAAGGGATTATGGGGGTCATTAAAAGGAGATGATGCGATGCTGGTGGCTGGGGAATTCTGGGAGTTGAAGTCTTAAAGTTGCCAAGGTTGGGTACCTTTGATGTAGATCTTTGAACCCTATGTGCACCCTAGAGATTGGGAAGATGCAATGAGAAGAGACGGGAGTCCTGGATTTCATCAGGGCCAAAATTTAGGAATGTGTTAGAACAGTGATTCCCAAACTTGGCAACTTTAAGACTTGTGGACTTCAACTCCCAGAATTCTCCAGCCAGCTCCGCAGAGCTGGCTGGAGAATTCTGGGAGTTGAAGTCCACAAGTCTTAAAGTTGCCAAGTTTGAGAACCACTGTGTTAGAAGATCTGAAGCCATAAAACAGAAAAGTCAAGAATAATCAGCTCTGGTTTCTAGAGACACTGAGGTAGAGGATCTGAATTTCTTTAGTTCCAGCCAGGATTGGAAATATTTCTGTTATTTCGCCGTCTTTAAAACAGCCATCAGAGTGATATGAACGCGGGAGTCCGGTTTAATTGCTTGAATGATGTAATAAAATGGCTGATATCTGGTCGTTCTCTTTGGAATCTAACACGAAGCCTATGCATCTGCTGTAAGAAGACCGAATACGATTTTAAAAATGCTGCAGGATTTTTTAAAAAAAATGTCGTTTCCTTTTAAAAAATAACATTGGCCTAATTACCAGCGTGGCCATTTCCTTCCCATCAAAGTAGCCGCGGAAAGTTACCTATAGAAGTTGGCCTTTTCCTGTCCGAGGAATCTTTCCAGAGTGGGCTGTATCATTTTTCAGAGGTATTTTTAGAGGAGAAGCCATCAATTATTCATGCGTTTTAAATTGCATTGTCTTTGTCCAGTTAAGAACATAACTCAGTAATACCCCCCCCCCCCCCCCCGGGGCTCTGTGATTCCAACAGAACAGGCGCGCTCCAAAAAGGAGGCAGATGGCTTGTGGGTTGGAGAAGGAGCAGCTGAGGTTTTTCAGATTGTTTACTGGTTCCGATCCTATTCCATAGGATTGGAGGGAGCTTGATATGGGTCACAGGAACTGGGGCTGCTGAAAATCACATAGTTAGCTCACGGAAGTGGGTATCTGGGGCTGGAGATGGGTGGTGTTTTGGCACTTGTCCACCCACCAGATCCAGATGGACTTCTTCAGATCCAGGCTGATTTCTTTAGATCCAGGAAGACTTCTTCNACCACAAACCTGGCACTAGACACAGCTTCAGAGGATACTTTGGAAGAGCAGAGCAATCCAGGGCTGGAAGGTACCCGGTGGTCATCTAGTCCAACCCCCTGCTCCAGCATTGTTAAAGTGAGTTTCTGTCTTTTGACTCCCCCAAGTTACATGACTATATAGCCACGCCCACCCAGTCACATGACCCCCCCCTCCAAAAAAAAGCCACGCTCACAGAACCGGTAGGAAACAATTTTAGACTTCACCACTGATCTTGGTTTTTTCCCAATTTCGGGCGTTGCCTCGAGACCTTTCATCAAATCCAGTACGGTCCCCTGTCAGCTGGTCTCGGCTCTCTGAAATGGCTTCAGGACAACGGGTGCCACCCCTGGGTGTGTGTTTTTGCCTCGATGTTGCATCAGCGTTGCACCACTCACTTGTCAAGGTGGCCGCAACTCTTCTCGGCTGTTGAATTCCAGCTGGTGCAAGAGGAGATGCCACGAATTCAGCGTGGATGCCACGATTGTTAGCAAAATAACCGAATCTATTAAATTATTAAGATGAAATGTTGGCTCCTATTTCACCAATAGCTTCCCATTCCATAGAGCCGGGGAGTCAAACTCGATTTCATGGAGGGCCGCATCAGGGTTGTGTTTGACCTCGGGGGCCAGAGTGGGTGTGGCCAAAGTGGGCATGGCCAGCTCGACGTCACTTGTGTCGAAGGTGCCGGGGGTGGCCCGAATGCTCTGCCAGAGAAAACAGGCTCCTGGGGTTCGTTTTTGGCTGCGATAGCCTCCTGCATCCCTCTGTCAGTGAAAACTGAGCTTGTGAGGGGCGTGGTCGACCCTCCCGATCTCCGTTTATGCTGGCAGAAACACTGAGGGCCGGTCCTTTGCTCTTTCCAGGGTGAACCCCCTGGGCTGGATCTAAGCACCCTGCAGGCTGGATCTGCCCCCCCCCCCGGACTTGAGTTTGGCCCTCTTGCCACAGACAATAGCTATAAGGCAGGGGTCCTCAACTTTTTGGACCTCAGGGACAACTAAATTCTTAATTTTAAATCCTGCAGACCACTAATACAATCTGCCTAATGACTGGCTGTGTGGGCGTGGCTAGGTGGTCATGTGACTGGGTGGGCATGGCCAACTTGATGTCACTTACGTCGAGGGGTACCTCACCGGCCTCTACTCACCCTTCCCCTCCCACCCACTCCTCGCCTGCCCACCCGGGCTCCTTAGGGCCCCAACAGGAAGCAGTTGTTGGAGCTAAGCAGCCACCTTGAGAAAGGGTTGGCAAAACAGCTCAGTTCAAATTGGATCAGATCAAGAAGGAGGCTCAGCAGAAGCACCTCACTGAGGACTACACACATAGGCTTTCCAAGCAGAGGGAAGACCTGCGGGAGTGNACCCTGGGCCTAAGCCATGGAGCGCTTTAAAGGTCATAATTAGTACCTTGAATCTCACCCGGAAGACAACTCTTCATATTGTTTAGATTGACCTATCAGTTATAATTGGAGGCTAATCTTTAACAACCTAGATTATGAAATGTGAATTTCAGAAATGATAGCTGCCTAGGGAATTGTGGGAATCAAAAGTCCATGTATCTGGTATGCCCAAGTTGGGGGAATCTGCATTAGGGAACCTGATACTTGGTTGATGTGTGTTTTTCCTCTTCTTAGCTACCTTGTCTGAGAAAGAGTGGAAGCCACGCCTACCTGCCTACAACTTCCTGAGTATGATGGAGCCCACACTGCCTGAATTTACCATTTATACTCAAGAAAGTATAAGTATCCGTCAGGAGGAGATCCTTGGAGAAAAAAAGGCAGAAGCCGCAGTGACAAAGAAGCCCACAAAAGACTCCACCATGGAGGAACTGAAGCCAAAGAAGCCAACTGGAAGGGCCTTACGAAGGGCAGCTCCACACCTAGGAGCAAAGGAGAAGCAGGCTAAGCACCATTCAGAGTTATAAAGTAATGTCAGATCTCTGGATAGTTTTGGAAGTAGAGGATGGGACAATGCAGAGGCCTAGAGACGGTGGTTAACATTTCATGAAAAATGATTGATGACAGATGTGTGATGGCACAGTTGTTAGAATGCAGTATTGTTGGCTAACTCTGCTCTCAGGCAGGAGTTCGATCCTGACTGGCTCGAGGTAAACTCAGCCTTACATTCTTCTGAGGTCAGTAAAATGATCCTGATTGTTGCAGGCAATGTGCTGACTCTGTAAACCGCTCAGAGTGCTGTAAAGCACTATGGAGCGGTATATAAGTCTAAGTGCTACTGCGATTGCTAAAGTTGGTGAGATATGTATAGGTGTAACAGGACAATTTTCATATAGAAGGAGGCCTCCTAATGCTTGTATGATTCTAAAACAACCAAAATGCATTGTCTAAACTTTTCTTTAGCATTTTTCTGATGTATGCACTTTCTTTGGGAAGGAAAAGTATTGAAGGTGTTGAAGAAAAGACAAGAAGGGGTAACAAACAGAGAAAGATATCATCTGAATTGCACTTAAGCGAGGCAGGGTGATTGCACATGGATGCACATGCCCACACATCTGGAAGCAGTTTTTTTTAATCCTGAAAGTTTAGGGCTAATCTGGACATGAAGATGAGAAATATGTTATTACAGAACCTCTGCTGTTTATTTTAAAAGGGTCAATACGTACAGGAAGGCAACTTCCACCACAACCACCTAAAATGTGACAAACAAAGCTGCATCAGAGCACTTTTTGGGAGAGTGGAATCCCATTGTAACACCACAGAGGCCAGAACAATAGAACAAAAACACTTACACAAAGTTTTTTTGAGAGAAATGGACACCCACAAAACTTCCATCTGAAGATGTCGGCATACAAACAATACAAACACCCATACAACAACCACAAGAAGAACAACAACGACCAGACGAATCACGATTCCCTATGTACAAAACATTTCAGAAATGACAGCAAGATTACTACATCAACATGATCTTGCAGTAGCCCACAAACCCACCTCAACTATCAGATGGACCCTGTCAAAACCAAAAGGGCAGATAGAAGCAAACCAAAGATCAAGCATCATATATCAAATCCAGTGCAGCAAGTGTGAAAATAACTATGTTGTCCAAACAGGAAGCTGTTTGATTATATTCATCTAATTTCCATTTATTTTGGTTGCTGAGAACAAATAAAATATTGGAAAAACTCCTAGACGTCATGATTTGCCACAACGTGCAAAATTGTCTTCAAATGTATCATTTTTTTTAAAAAAAATTGTATTTTTTTATATTATGAGTTTTTAACCAAATTTAAAGTCCAAACTACTATTAATTAATTCACATAGGCGCATTTAAGATATAAAATGCCAAAAAAACCTTAAAGGGTTTGTCCGAGTTATGTAAAAAAAATCTAGCACTGTAAATCTGATGGTCAGCAATAT